ATTATGTCTCATCAAGATAGTAGTTACCCATTTCTTTCAACTCTATGGACCCAAATTTTAAATATCTGGGTATTTTCACGAATACAATTCATAAAAATACTTTAAAAATTAGAATTTGTAATTTCGAATTTTCCATATTTCATAATTATTGTAATGGACCAATTTTATTTTATAAATTGCACATAATAGTACGCCTGATATATTATGCTCCAACTATTGTGGTATATAAAGAAACTATAAGTAAAGTTAAATTTAAACAGTATTCTGGAAAAATCATTCATGTTTACGTATAATCGAAAAGCTTAAACCGGTTCTACCTAATGAATGCAACAATGTTAATTATAAAATCTAATTACAAGTTCCATTAATCATTTATTTATCGCTAGAAACACGTGCAATAATTAATAGGATAAAAATAAAACTCGCTCACTATACTTACCGTCTCTTCTTTTTTTAACGAGCTATTTACGTTGTTTTCTTCAGTATCCTGCAATTTTCCTCTTTTATTAGGCTTCTGACAACGGAATTGGCATGATTCCTCTGAGTTTGTTATTTCTCCAGCGACAACCGTAGCTTCTGATGACGTATCGGATGGCTGTAGTGGACTAATTGTTTCCTGCCATGTATCAGCAACGTTTAGCGGATGTGTACCTTTAGCACGTTTTGCATGAAAGACCATTACGACTGAAACCAGCTGTCCAGGCATAACTGTATCTATTCTTGACATTTCTTTTTGGCAATTTGGTCGCAGAGTTGCTGTATTTTCTTTCATTGAAGTGGAACATTTTTCCATCCATTTGTCAGATTCTATGTCACTCGTATTTATATTTCCTGTTAACCTTGAATGTTCTTGTTTGGCCTCTGAAAGATATACAGAATCCTTTTCCCTTTTGTCTCGATTGCACTCCTTGGCGGTACCTCTTCCTGATCTTGAGTAATTGAGCGTAGAATTGACTTCATGGTCACCGATTTTACTTCCACTTACAGATGGGACCCAATTTTTGTTAAGCCTAGCAACAGGTTTTATAAGATCATGACGAATGGTTCCATTTTTTTCATTTTGGGCCTGCGTAGAATCTAATGCTTTTGCCCTCTGGTCTCTCTTTTGAATAATCGGGTTTATTTTGGATTCTCTTTCGACCTCTTCCGCTTCCTCTCCTTCTTCAGCTTCTCCTTCATCCTCTTCAACTTCAGGTCTCGTTGAAGAAACTGGCTCACCACTACTTAAACTACTTCTACCGGAATCACTGATAGATCCATTATGATAGTCTTCATGGTTTCCTTCATCACTTCGCCCACTTATCCTAATCACTTCCCGTTCTCCGTCCTTTTTTGCAGACCGTTTATTCTCCTTGCGTCTACCAGTCTCTTTGTGCTCGAAATCTCCAGGATGGACATCGGACTTTTTAGAAATAATATTATTTTCACAGACCCAAACGTTGGCAGAAGATTGTGCTGAACTCATTTGTCCCTGCTTATCAGCACTTGTATATTTTCCTTTTTCTCTTTCCAGTAAGGAGCCCGAAGACGTTTTGTTGACCATAAAAAGGGGTTCCTCTTGGTTATCTGCTTTTCCTTCTATCGCTAAGCTTTCATTGATAAACGATTTTTCGCCTTGTATACAATTCTTTTCTGAGCATTTTTCCTGTGTTCTGTTATGATCTTTTCCAGGCCGTCGCTTTGTTGAGGTGGCTGGTCCTAGGGTAGTGTTGATTTGGTTATTAGTAAGCTTTTTTAACAGAGATTTCCCATCGTTAGTATATTGAAGAGGTAACTGTGGGTTTAGTATAGAGTCCGAGGCCAGGCAAGGCAAGCTCTTGTCCTTTGCCCTACCTGATCTGCCCGATGGCATACTTGATTCATTGACTTTTCCTGCTAGACAAATTTTAGTCTTTTGAAGTGAGTTCACTGTGAGTATATTATCCTATTCTATATGCTTCGCGTGTCGTTGAAAAGTATATTCTATATATATTAATTGTGACCCATCTGCTTGAATATCCTATAGGAATTATTCAAAGTGATAATTTTCCATATGGCTTGAAGATTTTCAGCTGATTTAAAGCAATTTATTCCACTTTAAGGCAGTTATTCATTATTTTTGGATGAACTGACTTCTTCGATTTGAAATGACATCAGAAGTTTCGTTCCAGCAATAAATTCAGGAATTAAAAAGAACAGCACAGGATTTATGTGAAGGGAAATTGTTATAAAATAAATCAAACGGTTTTTTCGCAGAGACACAGTGATGAAAATATGTAGGAAACAGGTCCAGTAAATCCAACTTATAAAATAGGCGCTTTAGCTAATATAATCAGCTTATCGAAAGAATTTTGCGAAATATTTTCTAACAATCGTGTCTTTACTCAGCTATCCTTGCCA